CCCCCCAAATTTTCCCCATGCCCCTTTGGGCCCCCCCCCCCCCCCCCCCCCCCCCCCCATTGCTAAGCAACCACTGGTCTGCTTTCTGTGGCTAGAGATAAGTGCGTTCTGTAGCATTTTATATAAATGGAATCACGCAGTACGTACTCCTCTGTGTCTGGTCTCTTTCACTCAGCACAATTATTTTGAGTCTCATCTGTGTCATTGCACGCATCAATACTCTTTTCTTTTTATTGTCAAGTAGTGTTTCATTGTATGGATGTATGGCCATTTGTTTTCCCATCCACCTGTTGAGGGACACTTGGGTTGTTGCCATGTTTTGCCTTTGATTGAAGCATGAAACACATACAGAGAAGTGCCCATGGCATGAGTGTGTAGCTCAGTGAACTGCACACACCAGGTACCAGCCCCCAGATTAAGAAGCAAAACACAGCCAGCACCCCAGAGAGCCCACGACGTGTTCCCTCCCCGGCTCTGTGTGCTCCCAGGGTTGCCACTGTCCAGGATGCTAACAACAGAGATCAGTTTTGCCTGCTTTCCTGCTCTGTGCAGTCACATGCCTCGTGTGTGTGCTTCTCCCGAGTTGTGGCTGGTAAGTGGTAGACTGTTTATTCTTTTCGTTTACCCATTCTCCTGTGGATGGGCCTTCGGGAGTTTCCACCTCAGGGCCATTATGCATAGTGCTGCCTATGAACATTCCAGGACATGTCTGTTAGTGAATATACGTGCACATTCCTGTTGGGCATGGACCCGGGAGTGGCATTGCTGGGCTGTGGGGGATGCACATGTTCTGCTTGGGTAGATACTGCCACACAGTTTTTCACGATGGTTGTACTAATTTACACCCCACCTCTCCCAGCCACACTGGGGAGTTCCAATTGCTCCACATCTCCACCAGCACTTTGTGTTTTCCATCTTTTTTTATTTTAGCCATCCTGGTGGGTATGCAATGGTGTCACATGGTGCTTTGAATTTGCATTTCATGGAGGAGTTTTGACTAGAGTCCTGGTGTGTTCGGGTGTCCTCAGCTCACCGCGTCTCTCCGTTTTCTTGCAGGCCGGGTGCTCGTCCACTGCCGTGAAGGTTACAGCCGCTCCCCAACTCTTGTCATCGCATACCTCATGATGCGTCAGAAGATGGATGTCAAGTCTGCCCTGAGCATCGTGAGGCAGAACCGTGAGATCGGCCCCAACGATGGTTTCCTGGCCCAGCTCTGCCAGCTCAATGACAGACTCATCAAGGAGGGGAAATTGAAACTCTAGAGTGCCGCACTGCCTTTTCTCTAGAGGTCCAAGGGGGAGGCCCTGGTTGAGGGTGTCCCAAACCGCCATGTTTAGGAAACACAGTATACCCTGCTCACAGCATCACAAGGCACTTGCCCACAAGTCTGTCCCAACACAGCCCAGGGCCACTTCTGCCCTGGGGAGCACATAAAGAAGTTTGCTGAGGAGGGTGTCCTTGCTCCCTGGTTGTCCTGTTCCTGTAATTTATGATGTCCTTTCCCTGAGACGGGGGCTCAGAGGGGGAAGGCCTGTGGCATGCATGCTTCTCAATGGCCCAGGGCAGGAGGTCCGTGGAAGTGTAAGGAAGGCCTGGATGCCCACAGGGGCCGCTCATGACCTCCCTTCCCTTACTCTGGATCCTCTCCTGAGTGGAGACCTCAGCACCTTTAGCACTAGTAAAGGAACTATGCAAATGCAGGCCCTTCTGTCCCCACCATATCTGCCCCATGGTTTCACAGCCTTCCACACCCGCTCATAGGCGGAGGCACGTCATGGGGTCTGTAGCTGGGTCAAGGGTATCCCTCAGTTAATGGATGGAAATTTCCACAAAGAGCCTGCATTTCAGTTATTTCCTTAGGATTAAAGAGGCCTGCACAGAGAGGCCCTCGGCACGTCATGGGGTCTGTAGCTGGGTCAAGGGTATCCCTCAGTTAATGGATGGAAATTTCCATGAAGAGCCTGCATTTCAGTTATTTCCTTATGATTAAAGAGGCCTGCACAGAGAGGCCCTCAGGTGGGCAATCAGATTTTCCTGGAGGACTCTCCTAAATTCATCGAGTTCTTAAAATGTGAATCTTTGGAAAGCTTTGAGTTCAGAATCTACTGCTTTGGAATATTTCCCTTGGGCCTCTTTCAGCCACTTTGCTTGTTAAAAGAGCGATGCTTTGGGCATGGTTTTATTTTTCCTTTTTAGAAGACAGGGTGTTGAAGTCCAGCCTATTTAAAAACCCCACCATTTGGAGAATTACAAGGGATTTGTCCTGAATTATAGTGTTGGTGAGCCCAAGGCACTCGTGCTAATGCTTTTTGTCTCGGTTGCTATTCCAAGAGCAGGAGGAGGAAGTTGGCCAATTCCGGGTGGATGTGTGGGTGTGTGTGGAGGGGTGTGCCTCTCCCAGATGCAGCCAGAGGACGGACAAGTGGGCAACTGGATGGTCGCAGGCACACACCCTGCCCACTTACGGGGGCCCTGACGCGGCTCCCTGGTGCCAGGGCTGGATCTCTGGAGTGAATCAGCCAGACAGAAATGAGGCATGGCGGAGCATCCAAATGGATCTTTATTGCTGGTGGAGCAAACCAACAAAAAGAAACAGCTTTTTCAAGGACTTTTTAAGGATAATATTGGAATGTACTAGCATTCACGTTTGTGCACACTGGCCGGAATATAGGAATTTTGTTTTGAACGGTCTTGTTAGGACTTCATGTTATTGTGATTATGGGAAGAAATGCCATACAGTTTATCTTCAGGGTCACTCTGGGCAGAGAGGTGGTTCTCCGCCATGCCCCCGGCACCTAGCTCATAGGTGACTGATAAAAGTTTGTGGAACTAAACTCTTTTTTTGAACACCAAATATATATATAGGGCATTGTTCTGGTGGGTGTATCAAGCTCCCAGAAGCCTGAATTCATAGTAGGATCACTTGCAAGGATTTGCAAAGGAGTCTTACCTGAAGTGGAAGAAATATCAGGGACTTTTGTTGAATATTTAAAATCCAGTTTTCAGTTTAAATTCAGGCAGTGTTAACATGTCAAGGTGGGTAACGTGCCTTTTTTGGAGGTGACCAGGAGCTTCTGGATAGGACAGGGAGAAATAGGTGTATCTTAGGGCCTCACTCCCAGGTGTAAGGGTCTCTGATCACAGCAGGAGCAGCACTGCGCAGCCTGGACATTCACGGTCCCCTTTGCTCTGTGACGACAGCAGCCCTGAACAATTTGGATCTGTCTTCTTTTCCAGATCCTAGGCTGTCCAGATAGACCCTACTAAGTGAGAGAGCCATTCCCTCAACTGTACCTCCCTTCACAATTTACAGATGGCTTTCCTACTCAATCCAACTCTGTCCTCACAATCACCCAGTGAATTTGGTAGAGCTTATTCATGTTCAGAATCATCAAGGGCGTGGCCCGCAGGGTTTCCTGGCTCTTTAAGGCAAAGCTGTAGTGAGATTTTAGGCTTGCTGCTCTCTGGAGCCAGATTCTTTCTTTCATACGCTACTCCTCCTCAAGAAACGACCTCCCCACAAGTGTCCAGGTGCACTGCACACGCCCTTGACCCAGCTCTGGAGAAGGAAGTAAAAAGCTTGGGTCCCCAATTGGGTTCTAACCCAAAGTGTGGCTCTTCTTCCAGGTGACACGTAGCACCCCTGAGTTAGAGCTTTCTGCTTTGCTTTTGGAAAAGGCTTGGGAGCTGGGACGGCAGTGGTCACCCACAGGACAGCCACAGCTGTGTAGGCAAACACGGCAGTTGGGGTGGCCAGTTAACTTGGACCTCCTGAAGATGGCCTCCTTGTGGGGACATGAGGGGGAAAAGGCAACTGGGAGAATCACTGCCTTTACTTTGGGACTACTTTTATGTTGATAACTTGGGATTTCTTGATAGTCTTGAGCCCCAGAAACCCCTATTCACTTCATGAGATTTAGCTCCTAGTTCTTTAAGGAAAACAAAGTTCTATTGTGTAATAGCCAACACATGCCCAGCCGTGAGTGGGAGCTGTTCCTGGACAGCTTTCCACGCCCTGGGAACTGACAGGATGGGAACTCAGGGTGCCTTTACCCCCTCCGCTGACCTGCTCCCTTTCTCTCCCTAACTGAGCCCCATCGAGGCAAAATTAGAGCGCCAGACAGTTTTCTTCTCAATCTTAAAGCAGTATACCTTTCCACAGGCTGGCCTGTTTCCCTGCTATTCTGTTATTTTGAGAGCAGAAACCACCAGCTATCAAATGAGAGGACTCATCTGGAAGCTCTCTGAGGTCTCTCTTGGCTCTGACATGGTAGGGGTCTCCAAGAAACCCCACTTGGAATTTAGTATCCCCGGGAAATTACCAGATATGTGACTAGTAATAGGATGACCAGAAGGTGGCGCTGCGTTTCACGTGTGAGGATGGATGGTTCGGAAAGGGAACGTTGGTGCCTCTTGTGTCACGAGTTAATGTTAAGATGCTAATGTTTTAATCAAAATAAGCACTGATTGTAAATAGGAAGATATGAGCTTTTCTCACAGTAAATTTTCTTTGTCATAAAACTGGTGTCAGGAATCACTGAAAAACCGACGGTGATGGTCCTTCCAAGTCAAGATTTTATCCTGATTGGAAATTGGGCCATCTCCAGTTGAGAGAGCAGGTTGGCTGGAAGCTTGACTTTTGTTCCCTATTCTCTTCTGCCAGCTTTTAGGGTAATTTGATTATGAAAAAGCGAATTTTATGGACAGAAAAGGGGAGGTATCAAATTGGTTTAAGGGGGGAAAAAGTCAATTTTACTGTCTGTTGTATCACAAGTCTGTTAAAACACTAAAATTGTAACCAAAATAAATGTCTTACATTACAAATGATGTTCCTTTTTGTGCTTGTGTTATCACAGTTTTCTTTTATGCTTTGATGCTTAGCCTCATGTTTGCTTTTCATTTTTAAAAATAATAAAATTAGCCCTCCTCAGCGACTTGTAAGTTCCGTGATGATCATATTTATGCAGTAGATGTTTGATGAGCATCTCTCCAGCACCAGAAAGTTCCTATGTTAGAAATGTTCTTGGGTAGAGTGGACCGCCCCAAAGGAGGGATAAGATTTGTGTTCCTAAGAAAGCAGGCAACCGGAGTCTCAAGATGTCCTCACATGAAGATGATTGGGTGACAATTTAGGATTTGAGTGATCCTGAAAATGCGCAATCCCAAGATGTATTCTTTGCCCCAGATACCTTCAATTCTACTATTAGTACCATGTTCCTTTTTCCTCTGAGTGAAAAACCTCAGAGAAAGTTGGGTGCCTTGTCTCCCAGACTTGTCTCCATGCCTGTGCAGAGAAAGAGCCTCTCTAGGATCCAATTCCCCGTGTGTCACATGAGGCAATTAGACTAGCTCACTATTTGTCGAAACTCTTTGACAACATAATCTTTATGTTTTTACACAAAATCTTAAGGCAGAACACTAATATATAAAACTGGTATAAGCATCTTTTTAAAATTAAATTTATTTATTATTAGCATATTCATTCTTACAAATTGTGATATTTCTTTATGCCCTTTACATGACCTATCACTTCCCCAACCCCCTCTGTCCCTCCCCCTCATCTCTAGTATCCTTAGGTTGTATAATTTTAAAAACATCTTAATTATAAAGGTAATACTATATATTCATAGTAATAATTCAAACAACATAAAAGGCTTATCAGGAAAAGTGAGTGTCCTCTTCTAACCTTTAATCCCTCTCCACAGAGGAAGCCACTAAATTTCCTTCCAGAAAATCCCGTGCGTGTGTAAGCACACACATGCATATACATGTGTGTATATAGAGATGCCTTTTTCCCCCAAATGGAAGATGTTCTGTGCAGTTTTTTTTTTTTAACAGTATATTTTGGTTGTTTCTCTGGAACTTGTGAGCTTCCCTGCAGTCTTACATGAGTTAGATTGAGTGGGTTTTTGTTCCTTCAACTCATTCACCATTTTTTTAAAAAGTGAGCATTTCACTGCCTCAAAGAGATATTTAACCAAGTAAAAAACAAACCCCAAAAGGACTAAGCTATAAGACAGGTCGATGTTACACTGAAGGACCAGTGATGAACCACCTCTTTCTCCTAAAGCAGAATGATTAGGTTGATCAAAATGGAAATGTTGGTAACCAAAAAGGAGGATGATAGTTTGTCTATTACCATTCAGCTACCCTAAAGTTCAGAAAGGTCAAAATATGTGCTTAGGAAACTTGACCAACTAGCAATACTAAGTAGAAAAATGCATAAGAGGGAAGCAAAAAAGGGGGATTTCCCAAGACAAGTGATCTCTCTCAGAATATCTGCAGGACATGGTTAAGCACATAGTCCACACTGATTTGGCCAGTGGGATCCACACTGATTTGGCACAAACACATCTAGCTCATAGTTTTGCTCCTAGTATTTTTACTTCAGTATAAGGTATTCAGAGGGTTACATGGGGAGATGGATACTCAACCAGGGTCACTGTACACAGAGACCATACAAGTTTATGCACACTTAAAAAGAGAGTGCCTCCTAGAAAAAAGAAGCCTCGTGAGTGGAGCCTTGGGCTGAATTTCAGCCCTCGCTCAGTCCCCTCAGCCAAGCACCCTCAGGCAGTGCAGAACCTGCATAATCTTACACATCAGACTGGGCAGTTGGATGAAATATTAAAGCATACATAAAGATCATAAATCACATACGATGGACAGATATTTCTTGTTATTGTTTGCTCAGCATCTTTCCCTAATTTTTTAGCTAATGTTACCTCCATTTCTTGTGGGGAACTGTAATTTCCTTATTCCGTGAGATTCTGGTAGGTCTGTCAATCATAGTACCCTACCCTCCAGACCACAGTAAAAACAAGTGGCTCAAGAAGAACCTAAGTCCTTCCCTGGAATTTCACACATTTGTTGCTTACTAAAGG